AGAGAATCACCTAAACCCAAGGAGTTTGAGGTTGCTGTGAGCTGTGATGCCACAGCCCTCTACCAAGGACAATAAAGTGAGACTCTGTCTCTATAAGAAAAAAATAAAATACAATAAAATAAAAACCCTTGTTTGCTGGCCAGATGTGGTGGCTCACACCTGTAATCCTAGCATTCCAGCTGAGGCTGGTGGATTGCTAGAACTCAGGAGTTTGAGGTCAGTCTGAGCAAGTGCAAGACCCAGTCTCTATTAAAAATAGAAAGGAAAAAAAAAAAAACCCCAAACCAAAAAAACTAGCTGGGTAATGTAGTGGGAGCTCATAGTCCCAGCTACTTGGGAGGCTGAGGCAAGAGGATCACTTGAGCCAAAGAATTTGAGGTTGCTGTGAGCTATGACACTACAGCACTCTACCCAGGGCGACAGCTTGAGACTCTGTCTCAAAAACAAAAACAAAAACAAAAAATTGGGCATGGTGGCTTATGCCTGTAATTCTAGCATGCTGGGAGGTTGAGGCAGGTGGATTGCCTGAGTTCAGGCATTTGAGACCAGTCTGAGATCCTGTCTCTAAAAATAGCTGAGTGTAGTGGTGGGCACCTGTAGTCTCAGCTACTTGGGAGACTGAGACAAGAGGATCACTTGAGTCCAAGAGTTTGAGGTTGGTGAGCTGTGATGCCACGACACTCTAGCAAGGGTCACAAAATGAAATTCTGTCTCCAAAAAAATAAAAAAAAACAGAATGAAAGCTTTCAGCCTAGTAGTCACTCAGCAGCACCCACCACTCTTAGCTGAGCACGTGTGTGCAGGTGTGAGCCTGGCTGTCACTCAGCAGTGGCCTTCCTTGCCCTCTTGCTTACCTCACAGTGCAACCATCTCATGGTGGAGATTATTAAGGACACCACCAAAGGCCTCCCTCCAGCAGCGTGCCCCGCCTCAGCTTAGAACTAGACCTGACAAGCCCTCCTCATTCCAGAGTTAATATCCTGTGGGCAGCTGTCCTCCAGTTCCAGATCAGGGAAAAGACTGGCCTAGGCACGTTAGAAGGTTAGGGTTATCCTTGCAACCATCTTCTGAATCTCCTGAACCCTATGCTTCTGGTCTGCGGTTTATTACCTCCATTACACTGCCAGCTCCCTGGCAGCAGAGCAGTTTCCCTCGATGTTTCTCTGACCACAAGTAGTGGAGTTACAGAACCATGTGAAGATGGAGACAGACAGCCTCAAACACATCTCCCAGCATAGCCCCAGTGCTCAATGCCATGGCAGGAAGTTGATAAAGAATTGGGCAGGATGGAGAAAGGAAGCAGGAAGCTCCCTCTTTCCCTCCAGCCTAAAGCTCCAGATAACCTGCACCAGAGATGTAGGAGGGGCACGCATTTGGCTTTCCAGAGAAACTTGATGGATTAGGGACTGGGGAGCTGGGCTCTCCTAAGAGAGGCACCTAGCAGGACCAACCAGGATGGAGGTGCTTTGACCCCCTAGCTTTGTTTGATTTGGAGCTTGATTTACTGGTGGGAAGTTTGTTCCAAATCAGTTGTTTATATCTATTGACCAATAAAATTTAGTTAGTCCTGATGCTTCCAAAAGCAAGGCTGCTGGATTTGGTGGTGCTTTGCCCTGCCTTAGTGGTTCAGAGCACAGACCTTGGCATCTGGAAATTGGATCTGAATCCTGGATTCACTACTACTAGCTGTATGACCCTGAACAAGTCACTTAACCATATAGATCCTCAGTTCTACCATCTATAAAATGGGGCTGATAATGGGTACCTCATTAGGTTGTTGTGGGAGCTGGATGAGAGGATAGAGATGCTCTGTAAACTTTAGTAATTGTCATTATTGAGATAATGTGAGGGAGGTTGGAGAGAGAATTCCCCTTTAAGTTCCTTTCAGCAAATCTGTTGTTCTCCTGGCTTTCTTTCAGGCCAGGCAATAAGGGGGAAGACCCTGGCTGAGGGAGGGTACATTTACCTCTGTGGCTCCATGCGGAAGGGCTGCTGTAACTTCCAGTGTTATCAAATGATTTAGTACAAAGTTGCCCTGCCCACCTCACAGGGCAAGGTACCACAATCCAAATCCACCCAGACTAGGCACTATGAAGTTTCTGGAGCCCCTTTCTTTCGTTTCTTTTCTTTTCTTTTTTTCTTTCAGTTTTTGGCCGGGGCTGGGTTTGAACCTACCACCTCGGGCATATGGGCCAGCGCCCTACTCCTTTGAGCCTCAGGCACCGCCCAAACCCATGCTCTTTCTCATTGCTCTACTGCCTTTGGTCATAGCCCCTAAGCCTAATGCTGGACAACATAACTGCAGAAAGAGGCATCTCTACACAGTTCCCTGGTGTCTAATTCATCATTCTGTTCTGAGCTATGTTGTTATTATTACTATTATTATTACTTTGAGACAGAGTCTCATTTTGTCACCCTTGGTAGAGTGCCGTGGCATCATAGCTCACAGAAACCACAAACTCTTGGGATCAAAGCAATTCTCTTGCCTCAGCCTCCCAAGTAGCTAGGACTACAGGCACCTGCCACAACACCCAGCTGTCTTTTAGAGATAGGATCTTTCTAGCTCTTGCTTAGGCTGGTCTCAAACTCCTGAGTTCAGGCAATCCACCTGCTTTGTCCTCCCAGAGTGCTGGGATTATAGGAATGAGCCACTATACCCAGCTATTATTGTTACTATTATTTTTTGAGACAGTCTCACTTTGTCACCCTTGGTAAAGTGCCACGGCATCATAGCTCATAGCAACTTCAAACTCTTGGCTTCAGTGATTCTCTTGCTTCAGTCTCTTGAGTAACTGGGACTACAGGGACTGGCCACAATGCCTGGCTATTTTTAGAGACAGGGTCTTGTTCTGGCTCAGGCTGGCTAAGCTGTGTTATTTATTTATTTATTTATTTTTTGAGACAGAGCCTCAAGCTGTCCCCCTGGGTAGAGTGCTGTGGCATCATGGCTCACAGGAACCTCCAACACCAGGGCTCAAGCGAGTCTCCTGCCTCAGCCTCCCAGGTAGCTAGGACCACAGGTGCCCACCACAATGCCTGGCTATTTTTTTTTTTTTTTTTTGGTTGCAGCTGTCATTGTTGTTTGGTGGGCCAGGCTGAATTTGAACCCGGTACCTTTGGTGTATGTGGCTGGTGCCTTAACCGCTTGAGCCACAGGCACCGAGCAGAGCTGTGTTATTTTTATACCATTTTACAGATGAGGTAGAGATAATAACAAGGGCTGAATGCCCTGAGCCTTCAGGTTCTGAGCCCAGCTAGCCAGGCTGCCTCTAACTATCTGGGCTAGGATCTGAATCTGCAGGCTGCATTGTCACTGGGAATTAGAGCTCCAAATTATCTCCTTGGCTAGTGCTGAAGGAGAGGGCCCAAGAAGCAGTGCAGGAAGGAGGAAGGTCCCCTTGGACTGGGACTGTTTTTGCCCAAGTCCATATAGGGAAATGTCACAGATCTGAGACAAACTCTCCCTCATTCAGGAGTCCTCTCTTGGCCCCAGGGAAAGAGCCAGGATGGTTCAGATACCTAGGCCACAAAGAGATTAGGACTAAAGTCCCACCCTCACTGGACGTTGACCATGGAAACCTCCAAATGCAACCTCCTCATTTTAGAGCTAAAGCAACTGAGATCGCCTGGAAGTGACTTTTCACACAGTAAATCAGCAGCAACCAAATTGCTACTTAGAATTAGATACTCGAGTGGCGCCTGTAGCTCGGTGGGTAGGGGGCTGGCCACATACACCGAGGCTGACGGGTTTGAGCCCGGCCTGGTCCTGCTAAACAACACTGACAACTGCAACCAAAAAAATGGCTGGGCGTTGTGGTGGGCACCTGTAGTCCCAGCTACTAGGGAGGCTGAGGCAAGAGAATTGCTTAAGGCCAATAGTTTGAGGTCGCTGTGAACTGTGAAGCCATAGCACTCTACTGAAGGCGACATAGTGCGACTCCATCTCAAAAAAAGAATTAGACTCTCATTCCAGTGCTCCTCCATTGGCCGCCATTGATTTGGCGGCACCTCTCCATCTGCTTCTCTCCTTCTTTTGGCACCTCAAGCAGGTGCAAGTCACACCTAGGAGGTTGGGGGGGGGGCTGGTGGAGAGGATGGGCTCCGGAGGCTGAGGGAGGAGGAAGGAGGAGTAATGAGACTGGTCTCTTTAAGAGGGCGGACCGCTCTTCCAGGTCCCGCCCTCTCGGGGCGGCGCAGGCGCAGGCGGGCTCCGGGAACTCAGGCTGGAGGGCCGGCGCTCGCTGGCTGGCAGCCGGCGCGCGGGGCCGCAGCACCTGCGGGGGCCGGCGCGGGGCGCGGCGCCCGGCGGGTGGACGTCGACGTCCAGAGGCGAGGACAGAAAGGCGGGCCCGAGATTTAGGAGCGGCCGCGGAACGGGAGAGGACCGGACTCCGCAGCCCGCTCCCCAGCGGGACGGGGCGGAAGGAGCCGGGCAGGGGGCGGTGTGAGCGGGCGCCGAGGGCAGCACCATCTGGAGGGGCGGGACCGCGCGGCCTCTGGGGGGCAGGCGAGTGCGCTGGGCGGTGCAGGCTGGGGGCCTCCGGCGGGGAGCGCAGGAGGAGCGTGGCGGTCTCAGCCCCGCTCTGCCAGAGCAGCAACCGCAGCGCGTCGGGGTTCTCAGCTGGGGCCCGCAGCAGCTCCGCGGGCTGAAGCTCGGCGTGGAGGAGCAGGGCGGGGTGGGTCCGGCGGTGCAGGAAGAGGGCGGGGTGGGCCAGGGGGTGCAGGAGCGGGGCGGCCGTGGCCACGAGCCCAGCCTGGGGGTAGTGTGGGGGCCGCCGGACGGCGCGGACTGGAGACGCTCGCCGCCGTGGACGGGCTCTGCGGGCTGGCCTGTGGCGCAGGAGGAGGGGTTGGGGCCCCGCAAGCAGTACCAGGAGAAGGGGGGAGGCAGCCCCGCAGTGCAGGAACGGGGCGAGGTCCGCGCTGGGGTGCAGGAGCGGGGGGAGAGGAGCCCACGCAGGCTGCTGCGGCAGCCGGAGCAGCAGCCCGAGTTCGGGGAAGGGCTCGAAAGTTCTGGCGAACAGGGGGAGCGGAATTGGGAGAGCTGCAGGCACCTCGGACGGGAGGCAGTGGTCCTGGGAGCGGCCCCAGAGCGCAGAGACAGACTCCAGCTGGTGGGGAGGGCCCGGCCTGTAGGGCCCCGGGGGCCTGAGGGGGAGGGGCGCCTAGGTGTGCAGGAAGCAAATTGGCTGCCAGGGGTGCAGGAGGGGCAGGTGGTACAAGCTGTCCAGGAAACATATTTGAACGGGAAGGGATCCCAGGAGGGAGGGGGACCCCCCGAGGGGCACAGGATTCGGAGGCGCAGACGGAGGAGGAGGTGGTAACTTGCAAGTCACCTACCTGGCACAGGGACCCTTCCTGGGGCCCAGGGGAACGCAGTATGTAGGGGTGTAAAGAATGGGGACCAAAAGAGCTCTGTGAACCTGGGAGCTTCGGAAGCCACTGCACGAGGGCAGGCAGTAGCCCGTGCGATCCTCTTCTGCTACCTCAGCTTGGGCATCATTGAAGGTGTGTCGGAAGGCAGCGAAAGGCAGCAGGTAAGAAAGTCCAAGTTCGTCTCAGCCGGGTTAGTGTGCTTGGAAGCAAGGGGCTGCAGTTACTTCTCTAGGTTTTTCAGTGCGGGAGGGAAGAAGCTGTGTGGTTTTCAACTAGAAGGCAGGACTCCTCCCCCTAGTACTGCCTATGCAACCGGAGTGATGGGGCATCTTTGTATAGTCTAGACTGGAAGTGAGATGTCTGGATGACTGCCAAGTCTGGGCAGAGGGAAGAGAGGGGTAGCCCCAGGGCTGAAGTTGCAGGATGGTGGTGGTAGGGGTGCCTTAGGGCCACAGCTGGGATGGTGCAATCAGCACAGATTGCCCAAGTTCTTAAGACACCTTCCAGAGAAGGGAAGAGGGCATTGTTGCATTAATACAACCTTATCTTGTAACCCTGTTGCCCGTGTGAGCTGAGATGGTAGTGTAGCAGCCAGTGGCTTGGGCATGAGCCTCACATGCTCCTGCTTCACTGTCTTGTCATAGCTCATTTACTTGAGGTTCTAGAGCCAAGATGATTAGTGGGCAGAAAGGTGGAGGGCAACTGGTGAGGCCCCCTTTGTTTTTGTGGGACCTCAGGATCCCAACCTGTACCTACACTGCTGGACCCTAGGCTGCCTATGTGGCCCAGACACACAGTTGTGGAGGTTGGCAAATAGACAGCTGTGGTATCACAGGCTCTCCACACATAGGGCTGGTTCCCACTCTTGGCCCAGCCTAGAGGGACCTCAAGGTCCAGGGTGGGGGCTAGATTTGGCTTCTTGTAGGCTCCTCCATGGCCTGAGTGGTAGGCCTCCTTATTCCTGGCCTGGGGGGCTTGGTTGGCCAGCTGGGCCTTACTCCCCTCGGAGGGCTCTTACTGGCACTGTCAGGGTTCTTGGCTTCCATAGCTCTTGGGTGGTGGTGGGTGCAGAGTTGCTGTCTGCCCGGGACCTTAGCTGGGACACCAGCTGGGACCCCTCTCTGCCCTAGCCCAAGGTATGGTTTTGAGTCACATGTCCCCCAGACTCTTCTGCAGAGCCAGACTGGGTGGAGATAGTGCTCTTTGTGGGGGCAGAGGGTGTGGTGGTAGCCTGGAGGAGCCGGTTAGCCTGCTCCTCATGCAAACCCTAACCTGTCTGTCGGCTTCATCCCATGCCTGTCACACTGCCACTGGAATACTCATGCACCGGAAGTTCAGCTGCTGTTTCCACGGTGCCTGGCTCTTCTGGAATGGCCAGGTTCTGACTCTCTGGCTTAAATGGAGAGGATTGTCTGTTTTAAATGCATATGCAAAAGCATACATCTTCACTCATTTATTTTAGGTCAGCTTTTTTAAAATTTGTGGTGGATGAAGGAGAAAGAAAGGCCTTGCCATTAGACAGATTGGTTTTGATCTGATGTTATACCACTTACTAGCTGTGTGTAGCATCCTTGGGCACAATAATTGTCTGTGGACTTCAGTTCCCTTTTCAGTGTGTCAGGCTTTGGCTTTCCCTACAGCGTCTTGAGCGTGGAGGGCTCAGATCCTTCTTTGCCAGCCTGGTGCCCTCCTTCCAGAATCCCTGGCTAGTAGGTGTTGGGGAGGGGGGGGTCAGTGCTCCCAGACCTTTTTTTCTGGCCACTGAGCCTGAGATGATCACTCTGTCCTGTGCTTATTCTGGGACGTGAAGTGTTTCTTTTTGTTTTTAATAACAGGTTTATTAAGGCATAATGACATGGTAAACTGAACATATTTAAAACGTACAATTTAATACGTTTAAACATGTGCATATACCTTTGAAACCATCACCATAATCAAGATAATGAGCATACTCCTATTCCTAAATCCTCAAAAGTTTTCTGTGCCCTTTTGGAATCCCTCCATCCCAACCCCTCTCTCCCATCCCCTTTCCCCAGGTTGACAGACTGGTCCATTTTCTGTCACTATACTTGAGTTTGCAGCATTTTATGTAAATAGAATCAATAGCATATGTCCTTTTTTTCTTTTTCTTTTATTTATTTTTATTTATTTTTGAGACAAGAGTTTCACTTTGTCACCCTTGGTAGAGTGCCATGGTGTCATAGCTAACAACAACCTCAGGCTCCTGGGCTTAATTGATTCTCTTGCCTCAGCTTCCCAAGTAGCTGGGACTATAGGCACCCACCACAATGCCTGGCTAATTTTAGAGACGGGGTCTCAATATTGTTTAGGCAGTGAGCTCAGGCAGTCTGCCTGCCTTGGCTGCCCAGAGTGCTGGGATTTCAGGTGTGAGCCACCGTACCTGGCCCTGTGTTTTTTTTTT